AATTTCAATGAACCCCGTTCTGTCCTAATAACCATCACCAAAATTTATAAAAAAGGTTATATGGGACAGAAGAATTATTCGGTCTAGTGTAGATATAGCAACACTGACGAGCTCAAGGTGACGATAACAAATTTACAAGACGAACACTGCTGATAGGATCACCATATATTTGTATAAACATGTTTCATGTTGTGTCTTTTTGAAATAAGTATGTTAAATTTATGAGGTGGTGTCCACATAGGCACTTATACAACCAGGCATGCTGAGCCACCTAGTGGTTAGATGGATTCCTAGTCGTTTTTCATGAGCGAATGATGAGGTACGGGCCTAATAGCAATGCATTTTGTGATAGAGCTTGCTCTGATGAGTTGAATCAGTTCATAGATTAATTAGAGGGACTGTGCGGCGCACGCTATCTTTAACGTCGCTGAGTGTCGTTACAGAGCTTGGATATTTCACGCACACCTGTGAAGACGACCTCGTGTGCAGGTGCACCAATGAGAAGATTCCGTACTTCAACGCGCCGGTATATCTCGAGAATAAGCAACAGATAGGAAAAGTAGACGAGATATTTGGACCAATCAAAGACCATGTATCCTTGACTTTGGTCGTGAAAAAATATATCAACTGTCAGTTGTTGTATGTCATCCTGCACATTTACTGCAGATTGAGTATCGTTTGATAAATCACTGCATGTTGTCCTTAACCTAAGCCTCAGTATTTTTCAGTAAAGTTAGGAGATGATATGAAAGCAAAGTCATTCGCAGAAAAGACTAAGGTGAGGCGGTAGAAATGTAAGATGTGGTGCGTTTGCAATGTGACACGATAAATGTTATTGTAGTCAGGAAACCACAAGTCAGGTGAACTCAGTAGGTACCTAAGCTGTAAAAATGCATAATAAGACAATAAACCAGAAATTACGCACAATGATATTTACTCATAAAACCAGATTACAGGTGCAAGGCTCTCTCTCTCTGAATGAATTCATAGATCTTAAAGCTTCTAATACTCTACTGTTTTTCTCTATCTCCGTGGTCCACACGCACATGTGCCCTTATATGCAAGCTCATAACATAGGTTGTATTTGCTTTAACAGATGAAACTATTGTGGAATGTTATCACTGACAGTGTCAGTTCTGTATGTATTATTCAAGTGTTTATCAAATATTACACTAGCATTGTCAACTGCAATTCGTTGATTAATTTTGCTCATCATATTTCAGTTCTTCATAGATCCGATGAAGTTGTTACCCCTCCAACGCTTTCTTCCCCAGGCAGGAGGAGCCCGTGGGCGAGGTGGGCGGGGCGGCAGAGGGGGAGGCCGAGGTAAGTACATGCGAGTCTGCAAACTCAACGACAGATGGCGTTCTCTCGCTCTGGCTCAATTCACCACTGCCACAAGTAGATTTCCGTGAGAATTTCTAACGCTTTTTTTACCACAAGTTTTACAGCGGCCAGGTTACTCGTATCTTATGTAATAAGATTTGTACAAATAAAAGTTGCAAAGATATTAAAAATCCGACCATTATTTCATGAAAAATTTGATGAAATACTGATGAAAAAATAGTGTGCAGATTGTGCGCCCATTTACCTCTTTCAAATCATACGCGGTTTACGAATCGCCATTCGCTGGATTTCCCCGGAGCTCCGCCCACTTTAAAAATAGTGCTAGCCTTGCGGCAGTGGTATCCTGAGTTGTACGAAGGGGGCACTGCAAAAGTGTGCTCATTGAGAAATTGTCAGGTGTTGGATGAGAGACTTCAGAATGCATTGACAGAGGAAGGACAGGTTCCTGTTGATATATAAAGAACCTGACTTGCTGCGCCACCTACTGGTTAGAAGGGGCGCGTGTTCAATTTCAATTTACTATGCTATAACAGCATAAATTTGTAGTGTTTTTCAAGTTGGTGTCATCAGTAATATATCCACTATCAGGTGAGACTATATTTCGCTATATTTTTTCAGATTGTGCATTTTTAGCTCATCTGACATAGTCAGATGCAGCTTGTAGAATCGCATGAGCGTACGTCCGTCAACAGTTGGGCACAAATCTAAACGACTCGACGTACGGAAGTCGGGACGTGGGGGGGTAATCCGAAAACGAGTTGGGATGTCGAAGCTGGGGGTCAAAGGTCAAAGGTCAAGAGGTGTAAGAAGGGGGAACATTCCATCCTTAACTTAATGTATAGTACGGAAATGCAGAATTGCGGCACAAATCTAAACGGTATATAGGTATCGGTGTATAGCATCATGGTAGGAAAAACCATCACTGTGCCGAAATTGGAGGTCACAGTCAAAGGTCAATGGGGCACAGGGCAGATTTTATACATTTTCTGAGGACTGGTCTGACGGAGCGATTGGGAAACTTTTTTGTTTCAGCGGTGACCTACCATTTTTATGGCTTTATTGAAAGGACCATGAAATGTACTTTCCGCTGACATGCGAAGAGTAAGTGTCGGATAACCTTTTGACCCTCAAGAGGAGGTTAAACTTGATTTGTTTCTCAACTGCGTTGGCGAGTACCTGTGGTTGTTGGAAAGCTCCCATTTTACAGTGAAATCCACACATAACTCTTACTTGAACAACGCTTACTTAGGAGATAATGAGATGACTTATATATGAGATTCTGTAGTGTACATTATGAATAGTTGGAATACAGTCACTAGCACTCAAATAATTACCCAGGAGCGAGCTGCGGATTTCCCACTTAATTTTCTCATCAAATTTTGCACCAATATAGACGCAAGTGTGTACGTTCTTGAGCTTATTTGGTCCACTAATCACTGGCCTACCTTGTACTGAAATTAGTTTACAGATATTTGCTATCATATTGCAGTAAATTGTAATCTTGCACGAGCTGCTCTGGTTGTATCAACCATTGAGCTATTTTGTAACGAGCCAGATGTGCCTACCAAGGGGTTTAATGTACCTTATTACCTGACACCATAGAACGCACGTATCTATAGTAATAATATGGTAATTATTCGCTCCTGCTTTTTGCAATCTGTCGTCACACTGACAGCTGCCATGCTTTGGCTGACCGATGCAACGATGCCTTTGATAGCGGCCCGCTATATATCGGAATTTTATTACACTAGTTTGAAGTGTTGTTTTTTGGGGTTAGAAATGAACGTATGTATAGGACATCTTGCTATGCACAAATGAATTTATCAGCAGAACACCAGACACCAGATGAGCCCTGTCGCTCTGCGGCACTTGTTGAGCAATGATTTCAAAATAAATCCGTAAATGTGACCTGACATACATACCTAGTCTGCTTACATATGATGAAAAACTTCATTTTATTTTTCAGGAGGTGGTCGTGGAGGATTCCGAGGGAGAGGTGGAGGAGACTTCAGAGGGGGGCGTGGTGGTGGCAGAGGTGGAGGCTTCAGGGGTGGAGGAGGTGGCAGGGGAGGAGGGGGTTTCCGGGGGGCTAGAGGAGGGGGTGGGTTTAGGTCACGACCCTACTAGAGGGGCTGTGTTACACAAACTTTGCAAATGATGTCGGTGTATGTGTTTTCTCTGTACATTTTGTTCTGTCTGTTCAGCAACCATGGTTGAAATAAATTTTTATAACATCTTGAACATAGTATTCTGCAATATGTTATATATATATATATCAGAAGTAGATAATAGGGAAAGGTGTGACTTCAATAAACAAGGTAAATTCATCATTTATTAGCCTTAAAAATACCTACGATTTACTACGCGTAACTCCACCAACTTGAGCTCAACTTGTACACAGTACATTCTCGCTAGCATCGTGCGAAATCGTTTCCGTCGTATACACCCGCAATCCGGAGATACAGACTAAAACGTACGACACGATTTTCCATTATGGTGTCAGCAAACTGAATGATAAAACCGCCTAAATTGAAACAAAAGGCAGCTACTAACCAGCCACACCACACTTTGGCCACACCGCATCGCCCGAGGGAGCAAGTGCGCAAGAGCTGCCTTTTGTTTCAATTTAGGTGGTTTATACATTCAGTTTGAAATATAATGGAACATAATGGAAAATCGTGTCGTACGTTTCATCTCGCCGATTGCGGGTGTATACGAGTAAACGATTTCGCACGATGCTAGGGAATGTACTGTGTACGATTTGAGCTCAAGTGGTTAGTACGCGTAGTAAATCGTAAGTATTTTAAGGCTAGTAAATGTAAGAATTTCCCTTGTTATTTGAAGTCGCACTCCTTCCCTATTATCTACTCCTGATATATATTTGCTATTTCATCACTTCTTGTTTGCTGGTGAGAAATGTCAAAATAAAAACAAAGTCCTGGAGCCAATCAGATTATAAATTCTATTCACGTCTAGTTGACTTATTTGTATTACAACCTATTTGAAAACTAACTTTTAAGTAAAAGAAAACATATACAGCATAAAACTATTAACAAACTTTAAAATTTTACCACAATTAAATTGCACCGGTAGTTTGATTTAACCGCCATCGGCTACCGTGAAAACTGTTTATACACGTCGCATACACTCTGGTAATAGAAAACTCGTTCTATAAAAGTCCTCATTTGCAAAATACTTCACTAATTAGGCTTTCATTATCATACGCCATCAAATTTTAAAACCAATTTCATGATAACTCCACTGATTAACTAGCTACCTGCTATGATATAAAATCATCCTGCATGAAAATGGTATGAATATATAATGGGAGAATATGCATCCGTTAGCTCGTCGTGGGAAACAGCCGTGTTCGGAACCTCAACGCTCGCCGTAGTCGTACATGCTGTTATTCGACGTGCAGGTGAACACCAAGTATACAGGGTCGCCCACTGGTTAGCCTCTGAACGTACGCAAGACATCGCTGCTACAAACTAACAATGGAACGCGTGTTCCGTATGATAAGCAAGCAATAGGAGCCTCCTTGTGCACTTTGAAATAAATCTAGAAAGGGAAGCCGAAGTTGGACTCGACCCCGAAGCAACAAATACGATACAGTGGCTGCTGTAACAACACCCCCTTACTAACGCAGTGACACTACGTGTACAAAACGCCTACGTACGTGTGAACACAAGCAGCAGAATCAATACCATGGACGTGTCACTGCACCAAACACACGCATACACAGCATTTGCGAGCAACACCTAATATCAAAGTAGATCGTACAAACTGTCATGTTGTCTTTATTCTTAAAAATATCTAGCCAGAGGTCACTGTTGCAGCTTACAAAAACATTCGATTACCAAAAACCTGACCTCACTACACTTCTCGCGTGGATTTGCTGTTGCTGCCCACGTGAGCGGCCATCTGTAAGCAGATTTAAAAAACGGACACGGTGCGGAGATGTATATGACATGGCGAGCGCGATCGCAACGACAGCAACAATTGGCGGCTGGACGGAGGACGAAGACACTCTCTTACACTTGACGACCACCTACACTCGACGCAGCCACCTACACTGACGCCCCTACACTCGACGACCACCTACACTCGACGACCACCTACACTCGACGACCACCTACACTCGACGACCACCTACACTTGACGACCACCTACACTCGACGACCACCTACACTTGACGACCACCTACACTTGACGACCACCTACACCTGACGACCACCTACACTTGACGACCACCTACAACATTCGGTTTACACCATCGCGCAGCAGTCAGGGGAGTATATGCGGAGATTAGGGTGGAGACAAATAGAGAGCAAGATCGATGAAAGGTCACAGAGATAAGGCCAAACGATGATAAAGTAAGAGGGTGCCTAACTGGAGTGCCAAAATGGGGGGGGGGATCTTCTGGAAAGACAGTCCTAAGCCAGAAGTTCCTAATTACTATGTTAACAATGCTACCGTACGGTTCGTTCATGCGGAACAGGGACGTCAATTCCAATATCCAACACACATACAACTGTTCTCGAAGCTAGACTAGTATCACTGAGACCTGAATGAAATTCAACACAAAAAACGCCTCGCACCCACCGCGCGACTTTCCCGCACCTGCTGCCAGATGGCACCACTGTGCGGGAGCTCAGGCGGTGGCTGCGTTCTTCGGAAGGCTGCGCGGCGACAGGCTGATGCCGTTGGTGATTTCGTACAGCGACTTGCTGCTGAGTTCGAAATGCTCCGTCGATTCCTTGAAGAGTGCCACGAGGTGGTCGATCTTCGGCGAGCGCTTGCCGCTGTGAGAGACCTCTACCGGCATGACGGTGATGTTCGTTTCCTCCTTGCCACTCTTGCTGACCACTGTCCGGCGCAAGACTCTCCTCTTCATGGTCAGCCTGCAAACACGAGTGAGAGTGAGAGTTCTGTCATCATCTAACAGGGTTAGAAATGAACTTTTGAACAAGGGAGTCCAACGGACTCCCTGCCCTCAAAAAGAGTGAGTCCGCAGCAAAATGAGGGAGTCTGCAGTCTGAAGTTCGCAGTCTGAAGTCAGAAATAAAGATATTAACAATAAAGCATGTGCTTATTTTTAAGATTCATGCGGTTGCATGTCTGCCAAATTGTCTTTGGACATTTGCTGAAACAAGAGCCGCAGAGCGTCTGGGCTCATCTGGGGTCTGTTGCTACGGTTATAAACGTAACATTTAAGTCGTGCGTAATGACACATTTGTTAGGCGCAGATATGCAGATACGCAGTTGCGTACACTGCATGTAGATTTCTCTCTTTCTCGAGGCAGTAGCGCTGCCGGACGAGGCTGTGCGACTGATTGTCTATACAGATGTCTGATTGTCTATCAGACTGATTGTCTGATGGTCTTCTAACCCTAGCAAGACCATTTCGTTGAGCTAGCAAGGCGGTAACGTTTTAATATAACTTCACATAAATGTTTATACTATATGTTAATTCGGGTGGCACTCCGGCAGCCCATGTTTATACTATGTTAACTTGGGTTTCCCAGCAACGGCCAGCGATGGTAGAAAATTATGAAAAATTGCTCTAAAAAGCTGCTTGTCCGGCGGACAAGCTACCGGACAGATCTACTTGTCCTCCGTGGAAATGGACAAGTACGGACAAACAGATAGCCCTTATTTCAAACACTGGGATGGTATCAGGAACCTTCTCAAAGGAATGTTCGTTGGGATCGTTATGAAAGTTGCCACGAGATGGCGCGTACGTTTGAGTGTCTTAAGATTAAAGATGGAAGCTCCCATCCTACGTAGTATAGCAACAACTATTTGCAAGACAGAATAGGTAAGCACTCAAGTGAGTCGGTGTATTGTGTTTTCTCTGTACATTTTGTCTGTCTGTTCAGCAACCATGGTTGAAATAAATTTTTATAACATCTTGAACATAGTATTCTGCAATATGTATATATATATATATATATCAGAAGTAGATAATAGGGAAGGAGTGTGACTTCAATAAACAAGGTAAATTCATCATTTACTAGCCTTAAAATACCTACGATTTACTACGCGTAACTCGACCAACTTGAGCTCAACTTGTACACAGTACATTCGTCTAGCATCGTGCGAAATCGTTTCCTCGTATACACCTGCAATCCGGAGATACAGACTAAAATGTACGACACGATTTTCCATTATGGTGCCAGCAAACTGAATGTATAAACCGCCTAAATTGAAACAAAAGGCAGCTACTAGCCAGCCACACCACACTTTGGCCACACCGCATCGCCGAGGGAGCAAGTGCGCAAGAGCTGCCTTTTGTTTCAATTTAGGTGGTTTATACATTCAGTTTGAAATATAATGGAACATAATGGAAAATCGTGTCGTACGTTTTAGTCTGTATCTCCGGATTGCGGGTGTATACGAGTAAACGATTTCGCACGATGCTAGGCGAATGTACTGTGTACGATTTGAGCTCAAGTTGGTTAAGTTACGCGTAGTAAATCGTAAGTATTTTAAGGCTAGTAAATGAAGAATTTCCCTTGTTTATTGAAGTCGCACTCCTTCCCTATTATCTACTCCTGATATATATGTTGCTATTTCATCACTTCTTGTTTGCTGGTGAGAAATGTCAAAAATAAAAACGAAAGTCCTGGACTGCAATCAGATTATAAATTCTATTCACGTCTAGTTGACTTATTTTGATTACAACCTATTTGAAACTAACTTTTAAGTAAAAGAAACATATACAGCATAAAACTATTAACAAACTTAAAATTTTACACAATTAAATTGCACCGGTAGTTGATTTAACCGCCATCGGCTACCGTGAAACTGTTTATACACGTCGCATACACTCTGGTAATAGAAAACTCGTTCTATAAAAGTCCTCGTTTGCAAAAATACTTCACTAATTAGGCTTTCATTATCATACGCATCAAATTTTAAAACCAATTTCATGATAACTCCACTGATTAACTAGCTACCTGCTATGATATAAAATCATCCTGCATGAAAATGGTATGAATATATAATGGGAGAATATGCATCCGTTATCGTCGTGGGAACAGCCGTGTTCGGAACCTCAACGCTCGCCGTAGTCGTACATGCTGTTATTCGACGTGCAGGTGAACACCAAGTATACGGGGTCGCCACTGTTAGCCTCTGAACGTACGCAAGACATCGCTGCTACAAACTAACAATGGAACGCGTGTTCCGTATGATAAGCAAGCAATAGAGCCTCCTTGTGCACTTTGAAATAAATCTAGAAAGGGAAGCCGAAGTTGGGACTCGACCCCGAAGCAACAAATACGATACAGTGGCTGGCTGTAACAACACCGCTCTCTACTAACGCAGTGACACTACGTGTACAAACGCCTACGTACGTGTGAACACAAGCAGCAGAATCAATACCATGGACGTGTCACTTGCACCAAACACACGCATACACAGCATCATTGCGAGCAACACCTAATATCAAAAGTAGATCGTACAAACTGTCATGTTGTCTTATTCTTAAAAATATCTAGCCAGAGGTCACTGTTGCAGCTTACAAAACATTCGATTACCAAAAACCTGACCTCACTACACCTTCTCGCGTGGGATTTTGCTGTTGCTCCCAAGTGAGCGCCATCTGTAAGCAGATTTAACAAACACGGACACGGTGCGGAGATGTATATGACATGGCGAGCGCGATCGCAACGACAGCAACAATTGGCGGTGGGACGGAGGACGAGGACACCTCTTACACTTGACGACCACCTACACTCGACGACCACCTACACTTGACGACCACCTAAGCAAGACCATTTCGTGAGCTAGCAAGGCGGTAACGTTTTAATATAACTTCACATAAATGTTTATACTATATGTTAATTCGGGTGCACTCCGGCAGCCCATGTTTATACTATGTTTAACTTGGGTTTCCAGCAACGGCCAGCGATGTAGAAAATTATGAAAAATTGCTCTAAAAATGCTGCTTGTCGGCGGACAGCTACCCGACAGCATCTA